TAATTGCTGGTGTTAAAATCACCTGGTGTGAAATTTAATAATACGGTGAAAAGTGCGATTAAGGCCGAAAATGCGTTAATCTTTGAAGACAGGATGAGTTAATTGTACTCTTTTGTGCAGAACACGTCCAACGAGCTGGCTGGGGAGTTTGTTTTCCCCTTTCCTTTTTCCAGTTTACTGATGGTACCTGTGAAGATTGGAACATTGGGTGTTAGCCTGACATGAATGTATAGATCCTAAACTTGGAGGGAGGGAGAAAACAGTGTTCCTCCTTTTTCCCAGTGAGTAAATAAAATGTGCTGCTTATATAGTGATAGTTTAAAATTATTAAAATAGCATTCCTTTCTTACAGATTCTGCCGTTATGTTTCCGATTATATTTATCTGTTCTGTGACTCTACTGTCAGCTTTCCACAAGTGGTACAGGCTAAATGTTTTCCAAATAGCACGTACTAAATTCAGATTTTAAAAAATTTCAAGTATTTAAATGTAGTTGAGTGTCTATAGCATCATAAGTCTGCTTTTAGACATGGGTGCAATGTAAGTAGTAAACGCTCTGATCGCTGGACCCTTAAATGAACATGAACATCACAGTCGTTTTCATAATGATAGTGCACAACTGGAATGTCTTGCAAGTAATACAAATATTTTTTTTGGTTTTGAGATGGTGTTTGACCTATCTCCGAAAGCATTAATTCAGTCCTTTGCTGGTTTATATTTTTCTGTCTGGTCTTGGCCGTGATCCTACAAAACGCTGAAAAGGCACTTAATTTGAAATGTGAATAGGCGGAATGGATATACAAATTTAATTATGTGCATTCTTTGCAAAATTGTGGCCTTTATTTATGTCTGCAAAAGCTTTGCTCCTGATGCGTACTTTAGTTCAGCAAGGAAAAGAAGAATTTAACTAGAAAAGCTTTTCAGTGTCTCATTCACCCATTGCTCCTTGCTCAAGACGAATTATTTTTCTCCAAATTTTGATGCTGTCACTTGGCATAAAAGTTAAGATTGTTTTTAGTACTTTAAGGTACAAACCAGAATTTTCTCATATTTGCAAGCCTGCAGAGGAGAGAGAATTGATGTTTAGAAGGTTGAACTGAGTTGAAATGTCGGTTGCATTTGTTATGAAACAGCAAGTACTCCCTGCAATTTACCTTTGTTTCCAGTAACAGGGATGAGACATTTATTTCTTTTCAGTACTGGAATAACAAACTCAAGACTGTGGCTGTGACAGCACCTGATAACAACGTGAACGTTCAATTCAAACCTGCAACTTAAGAGCAAACCTACATACCTAGCCTTATTCTTTCCTGTCACCCCTGTGCTACTGAGGCCAACGTTGGCTTGTCCTTGCTTCCCGTTACCTTGTCTGGTGAGTATGAAAACTGATGGTTTTACTTACCTGGGAAACAGTTGTACTTGATTAGGGTTTCTGTAGCCAGATTTTTGTCAGACTCTTAACTGTATTTTTTTTTCATATTAGTTTTGAAATATGTGATATCACATAAAAGACTTAAGCGTCTCTCCAGCATTTTTTTTTAATTTTTGAAACTTTTTGAAAAGTAGTATAATTTACTACAGTAATAAAAGATTTTTTTTTAAAAAATGCTCGTGCTTCATTTGGAAATTGGATCTCTTTAGACCTTGTTTAGATTCGGGTATTTTCATGATTGTCCATCTTAGCATATGATGAAAAAAATCTTGGAAGATTTTTTCATATTCTGTAGGGTTTATCAATACTATAGAGACATAGACAGTCAGCTTTTATCAGTGTGCAAAAGTACTTGACCCTAACACAATGAGAATGTATCCTTGTAAGTCTTAAGGGGTATTACTGTTTCTCCAAAAGGAATCGATCATGGCTGATGACTCTCAGAGAAACTTTCGGTCAGTGTATTATGAAAAAGTGGGGTTTCGTGGAGTTGAAGAAAAGAAGTCACTGGAAATTCTATTAAAAGATGACCGGTTGGGCAAGTTGATTTCACTGTTTCCTCTATTACTTTGGTGATTTGGGGCTGGAAGGGAATAATAGAACATGTTTAGCTGCTGTGCTTAGTACTCGTTTAAGTGTTGCATCTTTTACCACTAATCTCTCTCTTATTACTAGCAGTCTTTTGAGTTTCCAAGATCTGAAAATCTGATTTTTAAAACTACTAAAGATTTGTCTGCTTGCTGGTTTCTTTTTTGTCTTCTCTCATTCTTTATGCCCAAGAAACTAGAAGTTTTTTAATGAAAGCAATTTTAATCTGAAAAAATATAATCTCATGCTGTTAATTCCATCTAACCTCAAAACAATGAAGATTCTTGTTACTGCTGTTGGTCCCTGGGGGGTGCCACATCTCTAGCAGAACAGAAAGATAAATGTTGTCCCTTTAACAAAGCCCTTAATTGTTGTTTTGACAGAGCAACACAATTTACAAAACGTCAATAAAAGTGGTACAGTTTCTTTCTGGTGAAACCTACAGTAGTCTTGTTGTAAATCCAGCTCACGTGTATATTTTTCAAAATTGTTGCAGTTTATAGGGCACATTCTATTCTCAATTGAGGCAGTGAAAGCATTTGTTGGTAATCTGTGATGAAAGTGGGGATTTCAATCTGCAGATAAGGGTTTGTCATACTTGGGTAGATCAGAGACTCAGACCTCTATAATTATATTAAATTTACCTTAATTTTTGTTTTCTCTTTGTTTCTCTACAGATATTGAGAAGCTTTGCACGTTTAGTCAAAGGTTTCCTCTCCCATCCATGTATCGTATACTGGTGTGGAAAGTGCTTTTAGGTAAGAAATATAACACCTGTATCCTCTGTAGAAATGAGTATGTAGGAAGGTGTACTTTTTCTGTGTGTTTTTTTTTTTTTTTCTTTAGAGAGTTAGTGACGTGGGTTATTCTGTACTACCTTGCCTACTGATAAATAGCCTATTTTTGTGGCTACCTAGGATGCACAACAGCAATTACAAAACAATATTACATGCATTGTTTTTGACAACTTTTGCTGAAGTCTACCTTCTGTTAACTGTGTAAAGAATTATATTGATTTTTTTTTGAAGGGATTTTGAATTTTAAGCCCAGAGTGATTTATTTGAAGTACGCATACTGTCATTCTGTATTCTCCTTGGGTGAACAGAGGTACAAGGACTGTTCTTATACTGCATCTCAGTGTCAACACTCATTAGAAAAGCTGGTATTCAGAAGGACGATGCAAAATAGCTCTCTCTAAATGATTGGAACAACAGCCCAGTCCATTTCAGGTGGGAGGTGTTACATCTCCTCTAAATAATAGTTTGACAACTGTCAGCAGAATTCTCTCAGACACATACCAAGGCTGGATGCTGTCCCAGGTTACCTGGTATGTTAGCGATGTCTCCTAACTTCCTGTTCATGACTCATGATGGTTTCTAGACATCACTGTGTTGTTTAAGCTTCTTTTCTGTCTGCCTCAGGTTGTCTTTTGTATTTGAGGAAAGCAGTTGGCAGTATGTACATACAAAGTCACGATGTTGACTCTGTTTTTGTGTAATGTGAAAATGTCTTGCTCTGTCCCAGCTTTTGAAATGCAGACAGGTTTACAGTTGGAAAATACAAGGTAATTTTCTGTCTGCTGTGCTTGTTGCTAAAACTCAGCCATTTCATGGTTTAACACTTGTCAGGGGTATTTTTTTCTTTAAATGACGGAGAAAAGCAGCAGGCAGCCTGTTTCAGAACTGATTTTTGAAGAATACTTTGTTCTCATGGGTTGCTACGACAGGAGAAATTCTGCTCCGCTAGTGATACGGAAGTGGCGTTTTTTTGCTTTAGTGTATGTCAGATCTTATCTCTTTTGAAGCCTGTGACAGTTTTGTGGTGAACATCAGCGCGTGGCAAGATTGAGTCTTGAGTTAGAGGAAGTATTGAACGAAATGTTGAGCATCTCTTCTGGAGATTGTAAACAGTTTAATTTTCTCTACCTCTCTACTTAGATACTTTTTTTTCCTTTTTTATTTTTCCTCTTAGGAAACTAGAAAAAATGTTTGTGTTGTGCTAAGAAAGTAAAAAAGTTGCCTTGCAAAATGTTTGGCTGGTATTCTCAAGTTTTAGTCTGTAACTGATTCAACCTGTGTGATTGATTTTGCTTCTGAATGTTGTTTTAGAGAGGATTCATCTGTGATACAGTGAGTAAAGAATTTTCTGGCAGAGATCTAACAGTAAATTAAATAACACTGGAATGTACAGTATCTTTGCTTTAGTTAATTGCATGTGTATATTCTCTGGTCATCTAAGACAAAGTGTAGAATTTGAGAACATGAACAACTAATGTATATAAAAATTGTCTGCATCCACTTTGTTTTCAAAATAAATGGAAGGTGGGCACAAATACACAATTAGTATTGTATTAAAAACTACAGGTAGGTACAAACAAGTAGCAAGTAAGATTCACAAACTAAAAAGAAAGAAAAGTGGTTGGAGAGGGAGAATAAACCAGTGAAGTTATTTTTCATCTGTCCCAATGATGACATTTCTTACCAGCACACTGATGTGGTGTACAAAAGAGTTAGCGTTCATGTGCTGATAAGGTATGAAATTTGTCTGTGTAAAATAATGCTAAAGTGCTTTATTGGTCCATTGGCATCAAATTTTGTAGAATTTTCTCCTTGTATTCTTTGGCCAAGTTTGTAAACAAACTACAGTGCCAAATCCCACATTTCTGTAGGCTGGAGTTGTAGGAGAAACTGAATTTAGACAGATCTCTTGGAAAGTGAGTTTGAGTGCTCTGTTTGTCTCTTTACAGTTGCTTATCTTTTTGTTTTGTTTTTAAATTATTTTTTTAGGAATTATTCCTCCTCACCATGAATCTCATGCTTTGGTGATGAAGTACCGGAAGGAGCAGTACTGGGATATACACCATGCTCTTCGTGTAATTCGTTTTATTAATGATTCTACCCCACAGGTAGATGTTTTCCTCCGCATACATCAACTGGAATCAGGAAAGTTACCTCGAAACTTGGCTTTTCCATTGGTCAGTTGTCATTTTAACAGTCTTTTAAATACAGTATTTTATTTAACTTCTAACTATAAACCTCTGAGAAACTGAACTGCAGTTAGCTCCACAAATGCACGTAGATAGGCAAAGTAAGGTGAATGGAAAACAGAGAAGTACCAATGTGAAATACAGGTTTTTAGTCAAAGTGCTTTTCTTTTTCTTCCCCTAAGTACTTATGTAAGATTTTATGCCTTAAAATCTCTTTTGTGTATTTTGCCTGCTAGGCTTCAAGCCTTTTGTACTCTAGTACACTTCAGTTTCTTTGTAGCACTGAAATGAAAATGATGTAATCTTATTTAAGCTCATAGATTCTTAAATGTCCTGGAAGAAGGATAATTCAGAGCCAGTACAAGCAGTGATGTATTGCAAATTACATCATATATTTAAGTTATTTGTTTTTAAATCTAGACTTTAATGTACTGACATCCTTTTTCTGTTAGTCTAAACTGATCCAGGCTTCTGTTAGGTAATGCACATACTCTGTAGTTTACCATATACTCACATACTGGTAAACCAGTCTATGTTTTGATGATAATTATATAGTGCGATGATAAAAACTACCTGTGAATCTTATGTATAAGCCTCTATGAAAGAGGAGGTGATGAAAGGAGCCATGGGACTTTCTGAAGTAGATTTTATCCTGTATTTAATGTTATATTTATCTATGTTTACTGTAGCCCAGTTTACTTTGTTATTTTTAATCTGTAATAACAAAACTCTACATAAGAACTTAAAAAAAGTTAAAAATTAAAAAAAGGTTAAGCAAAGTTAACGTGGAAAATTCAGTAATATTTTTGACTGGAGGATTATATGCAGCATTCTGTTGTCAGAGGAAGGAAAGTGTTTTTGTGCCCTTACTGTTGCCTAGGAACATGGCCATCCTACCCTGCAAGTTTCCTATAGAGAAATTTCCTTAATCTTGGCATGTGACCTAGTGGACTGAAAATTCATCCCTTCTAGAGCAGTATTGCTTTCTGAGTAAGTGTTTTGTCAGTGCATCCCAGAGCACTAGCTGCTCTCAGTGCTGTGATGGGGTTTCGTAGAGATGGTGTTTAGCAGATCCACGGTCATTAGTCCTGTAACTTTTGTTTGTTTTGCTGCAGAAAACATTTGTTCCCTTACTGCACTGAAAACAGGCTGGCATAAACTGTCCCCTTAAACTTATAAGAGGTTACTGCTTGATAGTAATGCAGATGTTTTATTGTGGAGGCAGAGGGAGTATAAAGATGATGTTGGATTGGTCTAAATATTTTGAAATGTTTGTCACGAATCACAGAAGTCTGCTAAATATGTTTTGTGCATCTGAAAGCAGAGAGTTTTAGTAGAGAGATGCATGTATTGCAGCAGTCTATGTAGCAGAGGCATATCCCAGGAGTATTTAGACTATCCACGCACTTTGCATGAGTTGTGATCTGTGCAAAAGCCTGTGGTACTATAGCTTACTGCTACTGATGGTTCCAGTGGATCAGGCTGTGGATACATACCTGGCTTGTTACCCTGCCTCCTAATGTAGTCAGTACTGCCTGCCTTAGAAGACTAAGGAAAAGGGCAAATACGGAGCCTTTCCTTGTGCGTCTTCCCAGTGTAGCCACTTCCTGAGCTAGCTCTTGGCATGAGGTCTGGCTGGTTTAGAGTTAGTTCACCTCCATCTACCCTGTGTGCAGTCATACTGTTAACTGTGGTTTAGGCATGCTGATGCTTCTGTTAGGAAATTATATCCTCAGGAGAAAAGGTGGTGGCATGCCCATCACATGCTTCTGGTCGTGTGTTGTACGGGGAATAAGATACTCGTGACCTGGAAAAGATATTTTTTTTGTCTCTAGGAAGATGTTTATCTCAAACCAAATGATTTTCTGTATGTTGAAGGTAGGCATACAGCTCATGGCTGCATTATTTTTTTCAGTAACTGTATCATCCATTCCAAAGGTGTTTGAGGGACCCGTTTGGCCCGTAGCGAGGAATAGAATGAAAAATTCTGCTGCTATGCAGTGTAAAAATGTGGGGCATAGAAGTGGGATTATCACTGCCTCGTTAGGATTTAATATTATCCCATTTGGGAACTTTGAATCAGAGTTGTTCCAAGCTCTTGTGGTATGTTTTGGTTTTAAAAGCAAGACAAGTCTTATTTATTCTGCTTTAATGGGTACCTGTCACCATAATGCAGCTGCTGCCCGAGGTTTTATTTATGAATGTCGGAACAGCTCTTTGTGTATGTTGATTCCAGTTTGGTTTCCCAAATAGCAGGGAAAAGGAGTATAAGAATAACTTAAATCAGATAGTCCAATACTTCTGTGTAGTTCACTTTTTTGGCTTTGTGTTTCAGGAACCTGAAGATGAAGTGTTTCTTGCTATTGCTAAAGCAATGGAAGAAATGGTGGAGGATCCTATAGAATGCTATTGGCTTGTCAGTTGCTTTGTGAATCAGCTGAACAGCAAGCACAAAGATTCATTACAACAACTGGTGAGGAAAAAACACCTTTTTTTTTTTTTTCTTTTTTTTTTCTTTGTGAGGAGAGCCAGTCATGGAAAGCATTACTGTATAGAGACAACTGGAGCGTCAGAGGTGACACCCTTGGATTCTGTTCTGCCAACTATTTTGAGAAAACAGGAGGAGTGCTTTTTGCAGTGTGATTCTGCTGTCCTGTAGGACACTTTGTCTAACAAAGTTAGAAATTGTTTTTGTTTGCTACATGGTAGTTTCCAGTTACATCTTAACTTTGTTTTTAGGTTAGCTGAAGCTTACGTTCTATCTAGTTGAATTATATTTCTCACAAATTGGTCACTTAAGAATTTTCTTTATTTTAAACAATTAAAAGAGTCACAAAGTTAAGAACATCTTGATGTGTGTCTGCTACTTTTTAGGCTGCATCTCTGGCATCCATATGCTACACATTGGATGACAGACAAAGCACAATTGTTCTGCTTTTTAGATGGAGCAGGGTACTACCTCTTCAGAAAAACAGTATGTTGCAAATTAACTTTTAACAAAAAGTGGAATAGAGCTCTTTTGGCACTGATCATTTAAATGTTCTCATACAATATTAATTTTGAATTTCTGTCTTACTGGTTTATAAAATTAAAATTTGATTGTAAAGAGAATTCATACGTTTAAAATTACAAAAGCTTTTGTAATTCTGCACATAGTCTTGACAGGTAAGAAACTTTTAGTTGACAATATCCACTGAGAGAAAAGTATCAGAGTACCTGTGCGCTAGCAATCACTGAAGGAAAATTTGTTGCAGAAAATTATGCATGTCCTTTGTTTGTTATTCTTTTGGAACCAAGAAATACTTTTTAAACCTACCTGCTGTTGCTGGAGGTGATACATTCAACTATACCAATTTCTGTAGTTCCTTTCAAAGGACAGAGGAGCATTTTTAAAGAAAGTATATGCTTTTACTATATGGAGAGTGCCAAATATCTCCCTCCCTAAGTTTTTGTTGTAATACGAACATTGTGCCAAGACTCTGGATGTTAGAATATGGACAAAGGAAGTGTTTTCTCCCTTTGACAGCTGAAGTAATTAGTTGTTTACCTATTTGTGACAAAAAGTGCAAAGGTACTCCTGAATTTATAAGAATGTATATTAGAATTTAAACAAAATGAGAATTATCCACATTTTTATGTGGACAGTTATCCACATGTTTATGCTTCTAAATACTTTGGATTTTTAGACAAGAAATCAATGTCCAGCTTTTAATATGTTGCACAGGAATTTACTCTCAGAACTGATTTTATGGGTTTTGCTACATTGTGTGTAGATTTTTTTTTTTGACGCGTGCTACGGCGATTAGGTTTGAAGTGAGTGAACCTCAATTTTACCTGTGAAGGTAGAAGTAATTAGTGCACATTTAATTGCTGCATTGCCTTAAGCTCTCAAACACCTCCTTGCATTAGGGAATGATGCATATTTTGGAAGATCTGCTAGCGGTCAGCACTTTAGGGAACCTGAGGTGGTTGTTTAGTTAAATACCTAATGAGCTAATTCCAAAAATCAGCAACACTTGTGTTTTGGAACATGATATTTTTAGTTAAAACAATGCAAGTTCATTATTTTAGCATGCTATTTTATGCTGATTATGTTTTAAAGACATTTCTTGTCTTACAGTGTGTGTTAACTACGGAGTGTACTCTGATGTGAGTTACCTAAAATTTTCCAATTCCTTTACTCAGCCAAAAATTCTGGAGCAGTATTTGAACATTGAAGATAACAGACTCCTGATGCATCTGAAAGCATGTGCTGCAATGAGCAAACTCCCTTATGATCTTTGGTTTAAGAAGTGTTTTGCAGGCTGTTTACCCGAGTCCAGTTTACAGAGGCAAGTTCTCTTTTTTCCTTGCTGTTTGTAATTACATAGTAATTTTAGCTTTTTATCATCACTAGCAGGCAAAGAGCTTTCCTTTATCAGTAAGATTATGGAGTTAACTTTATTGTTGACTTGGAAATGATAAAATTAGATTTGATTCCACTTGTTACTGACATAAGATAATCTCTGTGTGATCATTTCTCACACTGAAATTAAGAAGGAATGGAGCTGAATATAGCGTCTGATTCTGTTAGACCCTTAATACCTCCTAGGATTTAAAACTCCAAATCCCCTCATAGTGATAAATAGCTGAATGGTAGTCGGTTTCAGGCTTTGTAACCAAAATCCTTGCTTAAGGAGTGATTATAATACTGTATTATCGTTAGATGAAAAAGGTTTTGGGAATGTATACTGGTTTTGGCTGGGATAGAGTTAAATTTCTTCATAGTAGCTGGTATGGGGCTACATTTTAGATTTGTGCTGAAAACAGTGTTGTTGATAGCACAGGGATGCTTTAGCTGTTGCTGAGCAGGGCTTACCCAGAGCCAAGGCCTTTTCTGCCTCTCACCCCACCCCACCAGCGAGGAGGCTGGGGGGGGCACAAGGAGTTGGGAGGGGACACAGCCGGGACAGCTGACCCCACTGACCCAAGGGATATCCTATACCGTATGGCGTCGTGCTCAGCCCCCATAGAGCTGGGGTGGAGGTTGGTGGGGGGGCCGCTGCTCGAGGACTTGCTGGGCCTTGGTCTGTTTGTGGTGAGCCGCTGTTTTCATCTGCATCACTTGTCTGTCTTGGGTTTTATTTTCCTCTCTTTTTAAATTGTGAGGAAAAAAGTAACAAACTTACTATTTTTTTAAAAATTACTGAACTGTTTTTATCTTAACCCATGAGTTTCTCGTTTTTACCTGTCCAGTTCTTCCCCTGTCCCACTGTGGGGCAGTGAGTGAGCAGCTCTGTAGTGCTTAGTTGCTGGCTGGGCTTAAACCATGACAGAGTATTTATTTTGAAAAGTACTAGGGCAGATTGAGTATTAGGACGTTAATGAAATAGTGCATTACATCAGGATTCTACAGTTAGAAATAGGTTATCCAGCTTTTAAAAGGGGAAAATTCTTGTGCATGGCACTTCACTGAACGGCTTTTGAAATGGAGCTTGTATGATTTCCCTAGTTCTGCTGCCTGAGAACTCTCAGAAAGCAGAAAATTCGGGATAGATGCAGGGAAGCATATCCATTGTGCATTAACAAGATTTGCTAATAGCTGAGCAGGAGGTGGCGCAAAGAAAACAATGGTTTAATTTTCAGCTGCCTGGAAACTTTGAGAAATAACAAGGTTCAGGGGAAGTTTTACTGCAGCACCTCCAGGACTTCAGTGGCTAGTATAGGAACCTAGCGTGGAAACAGAGCACTTTGTAAAATGCTCTGTAGAAAATGCTCTACGGTGGTAAAGCTGGTCATAATCTCAATAGTGAATGCAATCTTTCTTGTTTATCTGGGACTCCATGTTCCATGAAGGAAAGTGGGGAAATGGCTGTTTAAAAAATGTTTTATTTGCCGTTATGAAAATAAGGGAGTTTTGAGGAACAAGATCAGAAATTGTGCTCTCTAGTCTTGTGGTACCATGGTCTTTGAGGTTCTGTATGTTTTACTGTTGGCAAGCAATGTATCTGAGAGAAAAAAAAAATTTTGAACCAAACCTGAAGGATTTGGTAGTAGACCTTGAGGTGTTACGCTGTGTGCAGCACGGTAATTGTTACACAGCAAGTTCCTCTCATCAAGCACATTTAAGGCTCCAAAATAGTCATCTCTGTGTAGTGGTTGTGCGTGATGTAGTGCTTAAAAGCTTTTACTACTTTTATGACTACAGAAATTAACTAAGCATGTGTAAAATGTTTGTTACATCCTTCAAAGCAGTTGAACACTTACGGTTTGTCTGGGTCTGTATTTCACATTTGCATTTGTAGGTTACTTTCAGCAGATAATGATTGACTTTGTTTCACTGTGCTTTCTCTGTGTGAGACAAAATGCCTTAAACTCTCTGTTAGCAGAAGTGACTGTTGTACCCGGGACTTGCCAGTCTCTTCAGGCCTTTTTTTCTGTAGATTTCTGTGATCTGAAATAGCCTTTGCAAACGACTGCGTTAGGAACCTCTTTGCATGTCTTCTAGGAGATACTTTTATTTAGAGCTTATGTCATTTAATTTTGCTACTGGGTCTTATGGCTGAGAACTAGAGCTGAAAGAGGAATTTGCATCAGAGCAGTTTAGCTATTGGAAGATTCAGGTTTTTTTTTAAATTTCCATTGGGAATTGAACATTTTATGGAGCTGTGTTATCTTGATATAGCGTAAAAGAAAATCTAGATGAAGGATTTTGATTTCACATTTCATCTTGTCAGAATCTTTGGTTTCAAACGTCTATCACTTTGAATCAGTTCATTTATACAAAATATTTTATCTATTTAGTGTCCTGTTTAGAGTTCTCATACACTGTTTTACCTGACAGAATATTTTGATGACCTGAAATTTTTTAAGTACTTTTTTTTTTTCCATGGAAAAGGTCAAAATACTGGCTTTTTGTATCACTGGAGTAAAAACAAATTTCAGTGTTGGTACTTCTGATGGCGCAGCAATCTCTTTTCTCAACAGTTCCTGTGGGAACTTGGTAAAAGTGCACTTTTTCTTGCCAGTTTAGGTCTCTGAATTATTCAGTTGTAATCATAATGGCCTCATTTGCTAAGGAAATAACATACTTCTTGGGTAGCATGTGACAGATGAACTTAATTAATGCTTGGAGATTCAGTTTGGATTAGAATCTAGAAGCCTGAATGCTTGGCTGAAATGTATCCAAATGGCAGTGTTGGAACTGCTGAGAATTGAAAACAGGTCTGCAGTCCTCCTGTGAGTTGTACTGACTTTTTTGTCAAGTGAGAGATGGTTTGAGCTCAGTCTTTTATGATTTAATTTAACTTATGATTTAGCACTGTATTTCTTAGAGATGTTGCTTCCTTTCTATAAATTGTAGTCTTCTCTGCCAGGGAGCTAAATCTAAATTTCATGGTTTTCTCTTTTTTCTCTAAGGTGTACGAGATTTGTATAAGCTATGCAGAAATTTTATCCAATAATGGTGGGATGAAGTTGCATAATACCAGCTTTACTCCTGACAGGCATTGTCATTCAATATAAATACTGTTTATACCACGCTTCTAGTTATACCATAGGTAAAATTTATGCATCGATTTAGTTTAAATGGGCTTGGAAAATGTATATAGACAGGTTTCATGTAGAAACTTTTCCTTTGAGCTTATGCAGTTCTTTGCCAAGTGTATTAGGGCAAGCATATTATGCGACAAGCTTCTTAACAAACTTCTTGAAGGTGCCCCACTGATAAGAGAGAGGAGCAGACTGGCCATTCCGAAGGCTCTGTATCTCACCTGGAATACAGAGAAGGTGCTTCCTGGAACACGAACCAGCCTGTAGCATAGAGCCGAGAGGGACAGAAGGGCTTACTCCGCTCTGAAACAGAGGGAGAACTGGATCACACCTTTGTTTCTATGCTCGCCATTGCCCCGTTTGCTCCGTTTCTGCAACAGCGTTATCTGGTCACCGGTTCAGTAAGCCCCATGTGTGGAGAGCTTCCAAATGGTGCTGTGTGTGCCCTCCGCCAGAGAGCTCTGCTCTTAAACCTTGCTGTCCCGTTCTGGCTTCAGCTCTACAGGCAAAATAGTACTTTGGCTGCCGCTGTCACCCCAGATGATCCAGCTACAACAGAAGTAGTGCAGCTTTGCAAATAGAATTGTGAATAAGCCAGGAATTTTTTATGGTCTAATGTTGCCAGTCACGTATCATGCCCCTAACGTTGTTTGTATTCTGCACTGAAGACTTGGCGTTAGCAGGACTGTAGTAGCTGATGGGGTGATGTTAGCTTATTGGCCTCTGGTAACTCGTTTGTGGCAAAGTATTTGGAAGTTCTCCTGAAATCTTATGACTGCCTTTCAAACTGGCACTACCTCGTGTATATAATATATAGCTTGTATCGTTTTACGTCTGTGATGTAAATTAACATCTAGTCATAAAAATATAAGTAATTTGTTAGCAGAAACAACAGAAATATGAAAAATGCCTTAAATTTGCTGTGGAGTGGGAGGACATAAGAATGTGCATGCGGGGCTACTACTATAGAGAAACTTAAGTTGGTTTGCCTTTGTCTGAGTAATTGAGCTGCTTCCCAGCTCTGGAAACAGATGGGCACAAGATCGTGACATGACATCAGGATGAGATTTGTGCGAACCAAAATGTTGTCACGTCCCTCCATGCCCAGTTACCGTTGGAAGGACACCCAGAAGTGCAGGCGGAGGAGTAAGCATTGGTTCTCTTTAAATGTCTCTGGCCTGGATGACTGGAGGGCCAGAACCAGGGAGTAAGGTTGAGTGGGTTTACCCTGCAGCTTAGGGGCAAAAGCTGTGAGATTAATAATAATAATTCAGAAAAAGAGAGAGCAGCAATGCTGTGATGCTTTTTGTATACCGTTGCACTGTAGCCGTTGAGGAACCTCAACAACTGCCTTGAGAGTGCCGTGCCTTCACGCACATGCAGACACAGAGTAAGTCCTATCTTGTCTACAGAAAAAGCTCAGGGAAAAGTAAATGGCTTCATTTGCATAATCCTGGCCGCGCTCTTTACCTTTGTAGCTTCCTGTGTCTTTTTACTTTTCCTTGTGGTTCTTACTACTGCTTCACTGCTCAAGAAATACCTACAAGAGTGCTCCCGTGGTTAATTCAATACTGTTATGTTTCACAGAGCATGATAGTCACTAAAACCATAATGAATTTAGTGTATATTTTCTTTTTCAGCATTCCTGAGTAGGGCTGTAGGCACAGTTGCGTGACATTTCTGTTATAATTTTCCCACCTCTAGGAGTATCAAAAACCAGGTGAAAAGTTGCAATCTCTTACAGTATACTTGATCTTAAGTGTTCGCTGTTATTTAACAAGTGAGAGTAGAATAGGTATGTTATCCTCAATAGAGATACAATGTATAAAGGCTGCTGTATTACAATACAATGATCAAAATACATGTTTCCTTGAAACCGCTGCGGTTTTTTCCATGCTAAGTAAAGACTTTTCTGACACAGTTTATGTTGCTATTCCTGGCTCTGCTGGTATAGACAAGGTGCTGACTGCCGCTCCGTTTATCACGGTGTCACACAGTCGCTGTCGCTGGTGGCATTGCATTGAGAGTGACAGTAGCTGGAAATGTTAAGGGGAAAAATACTGCAGCAGGCACAGCTGGTTAGTGCTGACATCTCATCCACTTTGCTGTGCACCCTCTTCCAAAATTTGTTAGACCCTGGTGATTTAGATACTGCATCTGTTTTGCCATTGTGAGAACATTTGTGTGGGAATCGGGCTAAATAATGCAGGGAAACATTGGAGTGTTTTCTGAGCACGAAATGCAGCATACTGTAATGTAATTATGGAGACTGAAGTCAGGAGACTTGGAAACAAAATAATGAAAGAAGGCTGGGTATTTTATATCAGGATTAGTAACTTTGGTTTTTAATTAATGTGAGCTTTAATATGAACTTTAAAAATTCTCTCCTGTTTTTGAGGTCTGCTACTCTCTGTGCTGTCATTCACAATTACAGTTGTGGTGCCCATGAAATACATGGGGAGCTGTTCCTGGGTTCTAAACAGATAGGTTTGGGAAGGAGAATGCATTAGAAATAAAGAGGGATGACCCCGACAGGGTGGAACAGGAATGTGATCTCAGTTTTCTCATAGCCTTGCTTAAAGCTTCTCAACCTGACTTCAACATCAGTGTAATATTTATAGTGATCACTTGTCCTGGGATACTTGAACCACAAAGGAAGCAGTAAGATTTTAATCCTGGATTGTTTATTGTCCCTGCCGATATGGGAATTATACCCATTTTTTTAATCACAGTGAGACAGGGATTTAAAACTAAGTTGCAAACGGGAAAGAAACTGGCAGTACCTTTTTTCCCATCTGTCCATGCGGACTTTTTGTTTGTTTCCTTCTTTTTTAAGAATAGTCCTGAGGATTTTACATATTCTTATCCTCATTTCTTCACTATAAATTAAATTCTAGTCTGAATTTTCTGATGAATGGAGACATTATGAAAATAGTGTTGAAAGGCTTATGTGAATACAAGGTTAAGGAACTGACAAAGAATTGACTTGAGCCAGTGTGAAAAATAAGCACTATGTAGCAGCAGTAGGCATTCCACATGAGGAGTTATAAAAGCTTTTCACAAAAAAATCACAGAAGGGCTGAGGTTGGCAGGGACCTCGGGAGGGCACCTGATCCAACCCCCTGCTCAAGCAGGGTCCCCAAGAGCCGGTTGCCCAGGACCATCTCCGTGCGGCATTTGAATGTCTCCAAGGAGAGAGACTCCACCACCACCCCTGGCAACCTGTGCCCGTGCTCGGTCACCCTCACAGTGAAAAAGTGTTTCCTGCTGTTCAGAGAGAGCCTCCTGTGTGTCGGTTTGTGCAGTTTGTGCCCCTTGCCCCTGGTCCTGTCACCGGGCACCACTGAAAACAGCCTGGCTCTGTCCTCTCTATATCCTCCCTTCAGGTACTTACAGACGTGGATGAGATCCCCCCGAGCCTTCTCTCCTCCAGGCTGAACAGTCCCAGCTCTCTCAGCCTTTCCTCCTGGGAGAGATGCTCCAGTCCCTTCATCATCGTTGTGGCTTTTTGTTGAACTCTCACTTCTTGACTCCTTGTTTAAAGGAGTGATACCTACTCTTCAATTCGGCTGTCAAAGTTCATGTTGTGCCAGCGTTGTGTTCCCCTGGCACTCCAGGCTGAAGGGCGAGTTCTTCCGAGAGAGAAGGTCATATAAAAACGGAGTTGTCTTTGGAAGAAGCATACCCATAGATCCAAGTTTATAGGTGGGCTGCAGAAGATGTTTTCCAGTTAGTGTTACTGTATTCAGAGATTATGCAGGATAGTATGTGATCTTTGTCCCCCATCTTTTTATTTGGAAGGAGAAGCGCTTTTAACAAGTGCCAAGAAGGAGCAAGAACAACAATCCTCAGCAAGTCTTTCTCACACAGCTCTTAAAAGTCAAGAACTAAAAATAAAGCAAACTCATAAAAGCTGCCATCTGACAGATGGTTTCACACTGGTTTTGGATAATCTTTCATCCCGAGTCTGTTGAGTTGGGCCTGAGATAGAGCTGCTGGATGAAGGACGATTTCAAGTTGTTGCAGGCTGTTTTAGTAGTGAGGATCCCTTTTAATATTCATTTAAGTTCTGTTGCTAAAGTACTTGCAGCCTTTGGAGGCCTGCCCTTCAGGTTTTCTTAAAACTATGAGGTCCAGGTACAGTTTCATACAAGTGACAGGAGTGCTTAGGAAATTCTGAGAGTCTGTGCAGAGGGATGGACTGAAAGACTTAATGATTGTTCCTTGTGCCTAATTTAAATATCACGGACTATATCCTGCTGGTCTGTCACATTTGTATCTCATACAGCAGTGACCTGGAATATTTAGCTGCTTGAGATGTAGTAGTTCAGTGTTGCATCGTTTTGAATTTTCACTTACTTAACTGTTTGAAGAGTGTCTTTATTAGGCATACTAATAAAGTTTGTTTCCTTTTTTGCACTAGGAAAAATTCTCACCTTTGCCATACGCTGTAGAATAGTTGTCACGGTTCAGGCTATTAAAACAAGATCTGCTTTTTGTATTTGAGCTTGTAAACAGTTCCATTTCTAAACAAGAACACACCGTATCAATACATTACTGCATGCCATCGCTCTGCTCAACACAGATTTAGTTGATAAAATGTCTTTTATTTACCCTGACCAAATAATTCAATACATTGCTGTTACTTAGAAAAATAATCTGGAAAAAGGTGATTGTATGAAGATTGTTCTAGCAGATAAATAAGCAGATAAGCACTACAATAATGTTTAGTGATTCTTTTTCTTTTTTTTTCTTTTTTTAGAGTTTGGGACAAAGTTATTAGCGGGTCCTGCAAGATTCTTGTTTTTGTTGCTGTGGAGATACTATTAACCTTTAAAATTAAGATAATAGCACTGAATACTGCAGAAAAGATCATGCAGTTTTTGGAAAATGTAAGTACTCTATTGTGCTTTGCATTACCTTTTACGGTTTGTGAGGGTGTGTTTCAGCCTTAGTCATTTGCCCGTTGCAAACGTACCATAAGATACTATTGCATTACTTAGAATAGTGTAGTAGTACCAGGGTGAAGAGAGAATGCTCAGGGATGAGAATAGTAGTTTTTTCTATCAGGAGGGTAAGGCTTTCATAGAATGAAATGTTTTTTAGGCTTTGGGGAATGTGTTATCTATGTTTGTACAGAACTGACAATATTCCTTGTGATAGTAAAGGGTTTTTCTGTGAAAGTAAGTGCGGGTGAGGTTGGGTTAATTTTTCTGGAAGCTCCTTTGTACACTCAAGGTATATTTTCTGTTGATGCAAGGATGGGGTCATGAACCTGACCCTGAACTTCCCTTCTGTGGATAGCAGCAAGCATCACAGCAGGGTTGTGGGATCCCAGTGTAACCTAGGTTAGTTAGAGTAGGTACGTTTGTGGTCATGGGTGGCCGGTATGAGTTCTGCCCGATGCTGGGTTAGGGATGTATGAAGGGTGAGATGCCTGGGTGGTCATCTTCCGTTTTGTAAATAATTTGTCTAAAACCTGGAGGTAATGTGGTGGGTGTAGGACTGAGGGATGGTGGGATGGTAGGGCAGGGAGATGGGATTCTGGTTTCGTTTTCTTTTTTATAAAGAGATAAAATCTGAAGTGGAAATTTAAAATCTTTATTTTAAACACAACAGTCCAAATAAAGTACTCTGACAAGGCATCTTGCCCTGATCTTTTGTAGATTCCTCAAGATAACACTGATGCTATTGTCAGCAAAGCTGTTGATCTGTGGCGCACACACTGTGGGACTCCAGCACACTCAGTCTGAGAACTTTCTTCGCTTATGACAGCTTGGAGGGGGCGGGGGGGACACACACGACATTTGAAAAGACGTTACCACTCTTCCCCTATCCTAGTGTGATGTTCTTCATTACCTCTTCTATGTAAAGATGCTATTAAAGCAGCTGATAGCATAGTGATCAATATGTAAATATTTTTCAATAAATACAGATGGAACGAAGATACCTAGTGGCGGTGCGATCATGTCCAGAGTGTTTCTTGGCCAGCCAGCTACAATATGCCGATTGCACAGTGTGCTCTCTGCCTTTTGGGGAAGTAAATCTGACTCTTGAAGCAAGGTAAATAGACTTACTTGTAATTTAAAAATGTTTTTGTATGCTAGCTTGTAATTGCGATAACTAGTTGCTGCTTGGAGGTGTTTTTAAGGTGAATTTACTAAATGTTAGTCTGCTGGAACTTTGAACAAGTGTGCCTTTGCTAGAAATGTAAATGTGCTCTATTAATACTGTAAATTTTCAAGTAAATGTTCAGGAAGAGGCATCACAGATTTGAGGTAGAGGACATCACAATGATCAGGGGTCATGTGCTTTTCTGAAGTGTCTTAAAATACTTTCTTTTTATCTGTCAGACAGCTCTCTGTGGCTGTCTTTCTTCTTTCTTCTCCATGGAAGATGCCGGGAGAAGGTGGATCTGTCCTATCCTAACATGTAACTTTGGGCAGGTATGGAGCAGGTCAGTGGGACGAGTCAATATAATTCAGAATTACAGGCCAGTAATAAACAGTGCCCCTGTCGAATGCTTGGCTCAAAGTTGTAATTTGATTCTTGTTTGGTTTAGATTTCAAAATAAATTTGATACAGAAATGTAATTGATGATGTAAGTACAAGTTGAGTGATTAGCCATGGATAGAGATTTGCTGGAGAACTAATCTTTTTTTCTTGTAAAAGTGTAAAATTCTATTTCTACATCTTGCATAGACTAGGGAATTGTATATAAAAATGTGTTGCTTGGCTGTTACTTGACTCAAATTGATGCTTAGTATGCCAAGTGCCAAGTATGCTCATTGCACTTGAAAGAGGGTGTTTAGTTCGCACTCAGCGTAGTGCAGACTTGAAATGCTTTAGAAACTTAACTTTTCTTTTAAACTAGGTCAGGTTTAACCTTCCGACACGTTAGCTGGAGAAGCCTGGGGCTCGGTTCAGGTTACAGCTGAAAACCTGGGTAGGTTATGTATGCTGGATTCTGAGATGCTGCTGGTGGTGTTTCCGAAATGCCTGAGTTTACCCAGTTCAGAAAAAGCACGTTTGTGTCGGCTCTCAAAGCCACTGCTGTGTCTGCGTTGTAGCGTCATCCATTTAGTTCACTTCAGCTAGGAGCTTGTTTCCCTACGGTAGGCGTGAGAGCTGGGTAACGTGGGTAGGAAAGAGCATACACCTTCTGTGAATAACAGCACCGTGTTCTGTAACATGCAGGGCACAAGTTTTTCAAATAATGGCTGCATCTGAGAGATTACCCATTTGAACCTTTTTTCCCCTCAGGCTGCACAGCTTATTCACAAAACCCCCAAAGTTCCGTGTGCACTATTCAGGCCTTTACACGGCAGAGTACTTAGCCATTAAAAAACCCAAGCACTGATGACACTGAAGGTGTTTAGCAGTTTCAGTCCTGAAAGGGAATCAATAACTCCTATTCTGTGAAGAGAGATGCACTGAATCAGAAGTGCCAGTTGGTGTTACTGCTTCCAGACTTGCCAGGGAGTGTTCCTCCGGTCACTATTTGACTGAAGGCTCCAAACATTTCTTTGGTTTAATTTTTAATCTAAAAAAGCCTTTCTCCATCAATAGGCAAACCGCAGAGCTCCACAGAGGAGAGACAGATCTACTTTCACTGAACCACAGAAGGGCTGAGGTTGGCAGGGACCTCGGGAGGGCATCTGATCCAACCTCCTGCTCAAGCAGGGCCACCTAGAGCCGGTTGCCCAGGACCATCTCCATGTGGCTTTTGAATGTCTCCAAGGAGGGCGACTCTACCACCTCTCTGGGCAACCTGTGCCAGTGCTCGATCATCCTCACAGCAAAAATCTTTGTGCTTCCACACAAGCAACAGCAATTTTACTTAAACGTTTCAGTGTATATGGGATGGATCCTCAAATGCTGCTGCATTTTAATGTCGGCTGAAGTTCGTGCAGCTTTTTCAGTTTCATGCACCAAGAAAGAACAGGAATGTTTCTTTAATGGAGTGCATTATTTATTCTGGGCTATGCTGAGGGAGGGGAGTTCTCTAGAGAATAGATTGTGGTTTAACTCCGTACTTCCTTCACCAATCCAGTAAGAGAGATTTGTGTGTATCTTAATGGATCCATTTCCAAGCTTTCACTGTGGATTTATGAGGGATTCAGTTTCTGCAGAAAGCTTACTGAATTCCCAAAAGACTGAAAGTATGACTCTGGCTAACTTAGCTTGTTTAATTTTTGGTGATGTCTGCTCAGTTGAATGTAGTGCTTTAGCTCAGAGACCTACTTCCCAAGGGAGCAGAACAGCCACGCGTGAGCTTTCACTGTTCCCAGCCTGTGATGATCAGGGTGAGGCTAACGGCTGCTTTTTGACTTCCTGAGCTAAAACACCGCAGTAGTCGTGGTGTCCGGCTAGGCACTTTTAGCGGGCAGTCCAAGTTTGACCATTTATCTACTGTGGACTACTAGTTCCTCACACAGGTTTTTTTGAAGTTGCACATAGTTCAGCCTCCTACTGAAATCCCTGGCTAAGTAATGCAGGGAATGAGTTAGCTTTGCTATTTGTTTTCTGTTACCTCTGTGTCATTCAGGAGCAGCGTGGTAGCAAGTCATCTGATGGTCATTTTTTCCTGAGAAGCTTGAAAATGAGGTATTTTGTCTTTATTTACAGTATTTCTCCTTGACTGGCTGAGTGTGTAACTACTTGCTGCGTGCTTGTTCGTTCATACAGAACGAGCTGCAAAGAGTGGTTTTTGGTTTTTTGTTCTTTTTTTTTTTTTTTTTTTTTTCCCCCCTGGAGACAGCAGAAACAACGCTGAAGCATTCACTTTAGAGAGTGAAAGCTCCCCCCTCAAGCCTCCCCCTGCCAAATATCTTCATGGGCTTTGCAAACAAGAAAAATAAGCTTAATTTGGTCCAGTTCTCCCCTCAAGCGGTACTTTCTCTCCAGAGAGGTTTAGAGCAATGCAGCGTGTCTGTGCTCTCCCATGTTGTATGCACCAGTTCTTTTCCAGCTGGCGTCCAAATGGGATGGAAACTCCAGATAAGAAAAGTAACGGCAGATGGCAGAGGATGATGCTTGAAAAATGATGAGTGATTTCAGCTCTAGTAAGGGGCCTGAGAGCATGGAAAGAAAAGCAGGGGAGTATGGAGACAAAAGCGACCGAAATACGGTAATTCAGAGGCCGATAAAGTAACAGCGTTAGAGAGCAGGTTTCTGTGGATGGGAGATCAGCTTTCATCGCCCCACGGGACAACTTCAGTTGATCGTGATGTCTTTCTGAAGACCAGAGCTCCTAACCATGCGGCACAAACGTACTGAAAAGCCACGCTTTGATTCATTCTGCCACTCAAGGAAGAATTTTGTAAGCGATTTTGTACAATTTGTAGGTAATTGGTGCTGGCGTGGGTGTAGGGTGGTGTTGCACAGTCTGCATCCTGCCCCAACAGCTGCGTAACGGGTGCTGGTGATGTCCGCTCACGCTGCTCGGGAGCAGGGCGGCCGCTTTGTCCCACGCGGAGCAGCTCAGCTGTGCAACCGGGGCATGGCCACGTGGCTGCGCAGGAACCTTGATCCGAGGGGCGAAGGGGAGAAATGGGGGTGAGGAAGATGATGATGAAGCAATTTCCCACCATGCCTGCACTAAGGGCACCGAGCTCTTAGCCAGGCGCTGCCAAGCAGCAGAGTGGGTTCGTGCCTGCGTGGCTGTGTGTTGGTGTGCGCGCACGCAGGCTGCCCAGCGAGCGCTCTGCTGGGCTCGTGTCTGGCAGCACGGGGCTTCCAGTGCCTTTGCGGGATTTGCTTAGTGGGCTCAGCACGTTCCCTTTTTCTTTTCCCCCCAAATTAGATGCCTAGTGGCCTTTATAGCTCTTGGCCACGTGCGCACATGGATGCGTATGGATCTAGCTTTTACATTCTGAACTGGTTGCTAAACAGGTTATACCTGTCTCTTACCTCTCGGGGTTAATATATCCATGTATGTGAACCTTAGACACTCATCGAATGGATGTTAAAATACAGACTGTTGTATCTTCTGTCCCGTTAACAGGGAATGTTGCAGGAGGGCGACTGCAGGGTTGTTCCTGTGGGCCTGCTCAGGATCCTAAGTTTGAGGCGGTTTGAAGCGGCTGGTAAAGGTGGCTGGTAAAGCTATTGCTGAGCTGGTCGCGGGGGGCTGCCTGCTCCATGGGGAACTGTTTTTTTTTTTCCAGCCCTCCTCTCTTTCCTGCCTAAAGATGGCATTAGATTGCAGTTTGATTGCTAGCAAGGACGTGGGCTTTACTGAAGACACACACGTCTCTTCCCTTAGACCGGTTTTGTGAAATGCTTCAGTTAAAACATAAATGCGTAGAGGTCTCAGTGCAGGAGGTTGGGCTGGGTTCTCACAGAGCCTGTACGATGTATCCTCACCAGCGTTTTCCTTTTTAAAGCACAGAAGTTACCGTAGGTAACCAAAACGCTACGGAATGCTGCTACAGAAGGCATAGCTAGTTGGGGGGAAGGGGATCTTTAGGCAAAAACTAGGATGTTTTTTTACTTCATGTGTTTATCCAAACTCACTGGATAGCTACAAACTTGTTGGCTGTCAGAATGGAAATAGGTATAAACACACACAAACAAGGGTTGTAAGGAGGTCAGTGAAAACTTACCAAATGGAAACAAAGAGAGACGCCAGTTCTGATCCTGTGGTGTCTCCACATCAGCCATGGCAGGGAGCAGGGTTTGGTCAGTTAAAGTACGCGGACCTTTCATTTCTGTGTAACTGGAAGCCTCTGTGTGCATCAGGGGCGGGGAGCTGCTCCCACCTGCCCGTTACAGCGAGGACGCTGGGTGCTCGGTGTCTCTGGGGTCCAAATTTTTGCACCATCAGTCACGAAAACTAAACAGCCCAAGGAGAGCTGTTACCGCCTGCAGGGTCTGTAGAAGGCTGGCGAGACTGTTTGGAGGCACATCCTTACTCATCCTTACTCTTGTGAAGGTGGCTTTT